TGTGATGAACAGTTTGCGTCAGGGATGACTGAGCTTTAATATCGCAGAATTCTGAGTCGAATCGAGTGAAAATGACTGAGGAGCCATGTTGCTTGCTTAAAGATGCTTATATTCACATGTGATAACAAGTTTAAAACGCTGAAAGTTCCGTGGCTAAGCTTCTTATTATACTTTCTAAGAGAAGATCATAGTCTGCTTCATGACAGACGACGATTTCACAGATATGATGACAGAAGTTTTCGTAACAATGTTGAGGCTGAGGCCATGATGGAAATGACTTGATATGATGTGCTCGAGACTGCAGTAAAAGCATATCCAGTGAGACATATCCATATCCATATCCATATCCAGTGAGAAAAGGAAAATTCTGACGCCGCCCCTTACGCAATACTGATGAAGACATGGTTAGTTTTTCATTATTTTTGCAAATATCGCGTTAGTTAAATTAAATTGAGTGGAAGAGGAGGCCGCAAACGTTCTTGAAAAAGATAATGTAAATCGAAGTAGAACATCTGCAGAACCTAAGTAAATCTAGCTACCTGCACCTTTCTAATGAATATGTTTCTTGAATATTATGCTGAAGGGATAAAGCTATTTACTTTCTTACAGAATACCGAGTACTCTAATCGGCATGTCTCCTGTATTGTCTACCTTTTGATGGAGAAATTAACGTTGCACTCACGTTGGCAGCTTATTAAATGGACGCCATGCTGTCGATAACTGGTGGCAAATAGCCTTCTTGTATATGACTAACACCACAAAATGCAGCATCGTGCTCTTACCAAGCCGACATATCATTTTCATTAAGCTTGTGTCGATGCACTGTTCACAAAACTAAGCTAAAGGCAAAATAAATATACTTAACGTATATAACTTTGCCATAGTGACTTAACAATATGCTTTCTACACAACGGTTGAAATATCAATTTATATGACGAAGGATGAACCAAAATTAAACTTTGATGCATAATCCGAAAGTATATTAAGGCGTTGGTTTCAGCCCAAAGCAGCCGTCAATATTCATATCCAACATTTCGAGCACTGTTCATTTGTTAACATGGATAGCTTAGTAGGAAGTGTGCTGCCATTTTACTGGCCCTTTCATTAATAACCATTTAAATCTTGCTTCATTGACCTCATCTTTAAATTAGCATCCCTCTGGTGATTCGATTACCTGTGAATAGATCTGTTGATTGAACACCGCTATGGAGGATGCGTCTCATCGGATAAACAGTCGATAATGCACGTATTTCACGCAAGACTACCATGTTTAATTGGCAAAATGCAAACCAGGTTAATTTGATTGGTAATTCATTTTTTGAAGTACCATTATTTTGTTATACGGTGCCTTTTGAAAAAGCTTGAAGCGAAACGAGGCATTGGTTTGAATTTAAATTTCACTCATAATTTACTGAAATAAATACGTCTTCCATTTTTATTTATTGTTAAAATAGACTAACGACGGATTGATCGGAGTAAGGACCAATATTCAATCAGATGCAAGTAGCGCAACGATCCTAAATCTCACTATGGCGAATCACATGCATGAATGGTCCAGTTTGGTGTATTAGTCCCCCTACCCCATTTGGATAACGGGCCTCAGTGAAACCGGATTTGTGGCTTGGATTCTGAAACAGTTGCAACTTAGTCAGATTGCACAGATGCAGGCAATGTAGATTGACAAAGGACTATATTGGAGAGACCTAGGAAAAAGTACGGAGTAGAAAAGTTAAACTGAAGTTCACTCTGATGGTAATGGCATAATTCGAAAAATAACTCTGCTCGAAAGTCATCAGACATGTCTCATGTCATTCCTGTTATCATTTCATCCAGTGGAGATGATTTGAAAAGCTGGGTGACAAAGGAACAATTGCAGTCATGAACCCAAGACCAAGACTATCTAGGACATGACTGGGCTATCAAAGCGGGTGATTTCTGTACTAGTGAGCAGACAAGGTGGAATCTAACTAGAGAGGAATAATAATCCTCTCATTTATACTGTGTATGGGAACCTGGGTATACTTCAGGCATTCACTGGGCATCCGACTTATCTAGTCTGAGCAACATGCACAGTAACTGTGACGCAACGTGATCTGTACCAGCAAATTTTGCACTGGAGTCTGCTGACTGGAATGTCCAGTCCTAAGTGCGCCTGAGAATTGCCGTAAGCGGTATAAATCTTGGTTGAATTCTTCTTGTTAACCCCTGGTATTTATTTTATGCATCATTGTAAATATTTTCCGATCGAATAGCTTCCATTAAACAATATGCTTCTATTTTCCATCGTATCTGGCTTATGATTCATGCATTTTATGTCATTGCGAATGAGGACCTTAATACCACTACGGGTAGAAAGGATTTCATTCTCGAAAAATGACCTCACGATGCTTCGTCATCGACTAGAGAGAGGGAACTGTATCGGTACAAATGTGAGAATCCATGACAAATGATCAAATAAATGTATTAATTCCTTCATGAATGCTTCCATACGAAGAAACTTCCTTCAGATGTTTAGTGGACTCGAAATGTAGTGGCGAGTGAGCTGCGCAACTGAATTATTAGCTACTCAGAATCAAGCATGCCGCTTTGAAAATTCATGAGCCTCTTCAGCGACGACAATGCAAACTAAACACGATGGAGCTAATGGAGAGACGGCAATGATTTTCGCAACAGGTTGCAATATTTTTCGTCTCTGCTTTCACGTCACTGTAATTTAGCCATGTTCCGTCTTGCTGAGGATTTTATTGTGCAAAACTGCGTTGTTGCTCCTCTGTCACCGTCGGCCGACGTTATGGCGATACTATTCGATGACGAAAAGAGACGGCCTCGCGTACTTGATTATAAATTGCTCATCTTTGTTACCCCATGCCTCCTGTCTACAATCATGTAATCGCTTTCGTTGAAAATGTCTTTGCATGTGAAGCCAACCCAAAAAAGTGAGGTTATGTGGATTGATGTTCACTCAATTCTATTCCAAGAAAAATTTATGATCAGAAGAAAATTTATCTAGTTTTTTTAATAACACAAAAAATGTACTTTCTTGCTGCCAACTGCAGAGATGTGCGTTTGTGAACTTACCCTTCAGTAAGGTAACAAAGTCATATGTCATTTCTACCTGTTCAAACTTGTTTAAATGTATTTACTTTGGAATCACTGAGAATGCCAATCAGTCGAGGTCAGGTCAAATCGCTAATCGCCGTATCGTGGATTTTATGATTTGTTTTAATTCGGTGGCTAATTTGAACAGGTCCGTCCAATATAGCTCGTGAACAATTACTGTTTCATCTGGGAGAAGTTATTGCAATATTCTGAATGCTCCTTGAACGTGAATAAAGATCTTACATTTGCATTTGCAGTCAGATTATAGCGGCTGTCAATATATTAGACCATCTGTCAGCCGTGAAGCCTTAAACGCGTAATAATGTTGAATGAGGTGGATCCCCCGTCGCTAAGTAACGGCGACAAAGAACCTGTGTGTCCATGAGGCTTGCTCGGTCGAACAGTATTGTTCATCACTCGACATCAGGTGCATTTTCATATGACTGTTCAGTGTGCTTCCATTCACTATCACTCTTCCTAATCTCATCATTCAAACCAACCAGTGCATGCACCGAAGCAAGAAAGTGAAATCTTTCCATAATGGAATTTGAGTTTAAAAATTTTACACCATGCATGAGACCACAGTCCCGCACCTAACATTCCAAATGACAGTGCAACTACTTGCTCCATGCCCTCCTTTTCCAAGTTTGTTCAACAACAGTTTCAGACATCCATAAGCTGGAAATCCTGATAGTAAGTATGCCCTAATCCAGGTGCATAGAAAATGTATAGCTGAAATATCCGCCGCAATTAAAATCAGAAGCTGACGTTATTCTTAAAAAAAATTTATATTGGTTTAAAACGGTTTTTTAAGAGAAACATTTGCAGGAGTTGCGAAAAGAGAGAAAGTAGAAAAATACTGATATCGGTAGCGATAAAGACGGAAATAAAAATTGCAACTGTTTAACTACTAATCCCCTTTACGCTTCGATGATGGACGCCATTTGTAAACTTTCCCTTTCATGACCGGTTTGGATCACTGGAGGGAACGTAGCACTCGGAACCGAGAGTTCCCAGATTCGAGTCCCGATCGGGTCACTCGGTTTTTTTTGTTTCTCAGGGTTGTAAATCATTGTGTAAGTAAAAAAATAGAAAATGCAAACTGCCTTCCTGCCACAGCTGTAGATTATGCCTTTAAAAAGGCATTCCTGTTTGATGACAGAAACGAAGATCAGCATCGCACCATAAGCTTCGCTTCCTGAAATAAAGGTTACGTCAGACGGCTTCCAATTACGAAAGTGTAACAGAGAGCGACATTTCCACAGTTCACACTTTCGAATTACTTTCAAGCAGCTTGCGGTGCGGCGTTGAACTTTATTTTCACGCCATCAATCAGGAGTGCACTGCTTAGGAAGGAAGGTCTATAATTGCATGAAAGATGTGGCGTATGAGCTGATGTTTCCTTTCCTACAAAACCGTAATCTTTTTTCTGTCACAAAGGATGTAGGTTGAGTGACCCGAAGGATTGAACCATAGATTATTGAACTTTAACCGATGCAATAATTCTTAGAAATTAAATACAGGGTTGTAGAATGAACTTTCTTGTCATTCTCCTGTAATCAAAGCAAAATTAAAACACTGAGGCGCAAAAAAAGCGCAAATATTCCATTAATATGATTGGCACTAAGCCGGATAATAATTTCGCGCTTAATTGTTTCATTGCGTGTACTTAATTCAAAATTATTGATCTACAAATATCTGGTTTTGGCGCGTTAAGGACAATGAACGATTTCCCGTTTTGTTTGAATTGACCATTCACAAACGACGTCGCTCTCACAGCCAATCAGAAATTAACGATTAGGCAGACGAGTATAGCAGGCTCGAGCAGTTGTCCCCAAGCAACTCAGTCTGTTTGAAGATTACTTGTGAGGAGGCTCTGTTGACCCGTTCAGTTTGCTGCAATGGCTCGTACCAAACAAACCGCCCGAAAGTCTACCGGAGGAAAGGCCCCGCGAAAGCAGTTAGCCACGAAAGCTGCGAGGAAGTCAGCCCCAGCGACCGGAGGTGAAAGAAACCACATCGTTATCGTCCAGGAACCGTAGCTCTGCGCGAAATCCGCCGTTACCAGAAGAGCACCGAGTTGTTGGTACGCAAATTGCCCTTCCAACGACTGGTCCGTGAAATTGCACAAGACTTCAAGACGGATCTCCGTTTTCAAGGTTCTGCCGTGATGGCCTTACAGGAAGCCAGCGAAGCGTATTTAGTCGGTCTCTTCGAAGATACAAATTTGTGCGCAATCCACGCTAAACGTGTCACAATCATGCCCAAGGATATCCAGTTAGCAAGGCGAATCCGTGGAGAACGTGCTTAATTTGATGACCTCCACTCACTCGAACCCAACGGCCCTTTTTAGGGCCATCATATTTCTGAGCAATGGAATTTGATCATCATGATATGTTATCTTTTAGCAATGTACCTCTAAATCTTATAGTGCCTTCGCGAAAGCGATATAACATCAATTTTTGTTAATTGGTTACTGATTCTTTGAAAAGAGACGTTCACAGTTTCATAACAGATGTAAATGTTTGATGCGTCTATTTTATAAAATTTGAGTACTGATTACTAATAAAGCTAGTGTGTTTTACAGTATTAGCTCTACCGTCAGGTAACAAGGCATCTCACAACTGTTTATCAAATATAAACGAGCTCAGATTTAAAAATATTTCTATATTCACAGTTAAGGCATGCATATGAAAGCATCTAAAGGAAACTCAATATATCAGTTGAGTATCAGCAATTTGGAAATGATTCTGTGTATTCATTTTTAGGTTGAAACATAAAACTCTTGACCAGTTCTTCACCTCCCATTCTATTGCGAACTCTCCATTTTCATCGCTGACCACTTATGCATATTTGCATCCACCCTGGTAGACATAATTTGATATCATCGATATACGGCATGTACCAACGATTCCATTGCGACGAAGCTAACATAACGATTCCTCGATCTGACATAAGTAAAGACTTCACCGTACACAAAGTTGTTAGCTTTCATAGCATAAAACGAGAAATAGCAAAATCTGACACGACATACATAGCCAACATAATGGCCAATAGCAGTGGCAGTTCAATAAACCAACACATGAACGGGCACCTATGAAAAATCCAGTGTCTAACGAATGTACGGAATGCCCAAAGGCCTACCACCAATGCACCGGGACGAAAAACGGAGTGACAAATAAAGCTAAGTGAAGCTTTGCAATTGACAACGAGCAACAATTTATCCAACCTATGGAATCAAAATAGCACCAAGCTGTGGATAACAGAGCAACATCTTCTACTGTCGCTTGGAAATGGTAGCACATAAAAAATCAAAACTGAAATTTACGGAAACGATTATTTTAGGATCAATATTAGGAGCGAAGATGTAGAACATGCCACAGTGATATCGCGCTGTCTGCCTCCTCCGTTCAAAACGGCTATCGACTCAATTGCTGACTGGCGCATTCGTCAGCTGTTTTGCACCGCTATTCCTCCCCCTCCCCAGGTTAGCAGAGGGCAATGAGAAAGTTCTGATCACCGACTTTTGCTAGTATGCCTCAGTCCTCCAACAGCCTGCGCGGTCCTTGATAAACCGGCCGACGATCGAGCCGGTATGATTTTCGATGACGTCAATACCATGAGTGGCAGGTGACGAAATTTTACGCTGACTTCGTCACGATCTCCAACCGTCCTCCTTTCTCCGGTGCTAGAAAAGAGCTGCCGCGAAATAACTGACTCCAAAAACAAGAACAACCCGTTGCTTCCGGCCCGGTCGAAGCACCTCTGACCATATATTTGCCCTGCGCCAGATTGTTGAGAAATCGTGGGAAGACACCCGTCCGTTTTAAATATGTTTCGTTGACCTCGAAAAGCATATTATCGGATCCAACGCAACAATTTGCGGTCATACCTTCGAGCATACGCGATAGATGGCCAGCTGCTAAGGGCCATTCAATCTCTGTATTCTGATAGCAGGAGCTGTGTCCGCGTTAATGGCCTTAAGTCGAAACCATTCAACGTCCGCACTGGTCTCCGACAAGGCTGCGTCTTGTCCCTTATCCTATTTGTATTGTACATGGATAGAATAGTCAGGAGCTGCCAAGGCGATAAGGATATCGGTGTAGAAGATGTGTGGACTAGAAGGTTGCTGTTTGCAGACGATCTTGCTTTATTAGCATCTTTTGAAACTAATCCAAAGTGCTCCCTAGAAATATTCGCAGCAAAATACGATGTGACCGGCATGCGTGTGAACGCATCTAAAACGATAAACCTAATGTTTTCTTGTTCTCCTGCCCGTTGCTGTCTTCAGATTAACGGGGAGGCAGTGGAGGAGGTAGAGAACTTAAAGTACTTCGGAATTGTATTTACTAGTGACGGAAAATTGGAGGAAGAGATTGACCAGCGAATTGGAGTAGCCAGTGGCGTTCTGCGTGAATTAGCTAAATCCACTGTGATTAAAGTATAGCTCAGTCTGAAAACTTAGCTCCTGGTGTTCAAGTCCATTTTTATCCCCATGCTTACATACCGTCATTCCTCGTGAACGATGACCGAAAACTTTCGAACCCGGGTACAAGTTGCTGAAATGAGTTTTTTTAGACGAGTCGCTGGCTTTACGCGCCTCGACGTGGTCAGGAATACTGACATCCGGGATAGCCTTGGAGTACTGCCTTTGCCTCTCCAGATTGAGAATTTCACACCTGCGATGCTTTGGGCTTGTGTTGCGAATCCTTCCAGAAAGGCGCTAAGTAACTGTTTCTCACGATTCCGACTGGCAGAAGGCCCAGGGAACGGCCAAGATTAATCTGGCGCAAACATATCTAAGTAATCTGTTCCAAACTTCACTTATCTAATGCCGAAGCTCAGACTCTGGGAAGAATCGAGAACTTTGGATGCTTAGTCTGACGCGTCTGCCTCCGCGATACGAAGGGTAAAGGGGCCATGGGAGGTGAAGATGAAGTAATTAAACAAGGTGTGAAACACTGTTGTCAGAGAGTGTTTGAATATCCAAATAAAGATACGTATTGGCTGCAAACAATGCATTTAAGGTAATAGGGCCATCACCAACGAATGACCCATAGCTGCCTTGAAAACGAAATATCGAGCGCAAAACTTGTGCCGGCGAGATCTGGAAAAGATGAAAAAATAACGTCGATAAGACTGAAGACTGAAGGTCATTTGTCGATCGAGAAGAAACTATGAATTACCGTAAGAATGGATAAAGAAACACCTCATGGAAAAATTACGCATAAAATAAGATTTCTTATCACAGCATCTTTTCCGCCATAACTACTTCTGAAAGACACATTTTTGGTCTAAAAACGTGACCAGTCTGAGAATATAACTTTATGGAATAACATATATAGGCGAAAAGAGTGAATCAGTCAGTTTGGATGTAGAAAGCTAAAAAATTTAGCGGTAATATTATTTCGTAAGATTTCATGGCATTGTCCTACTATGTGTTATAACACAACATTAAAAATCTTCGAAAGACTATAGAACTAAATTATAAAATGACATGACTGCGATTATGAACCTTAAATGATGTATGTTAAATGTTTTGTCATTATTTAAGTCACAATAATTATGTTACCTGACTTCAAAAGCCGGACAACTGGTAATTATATTAATAATTAATATGCATGAAAATTGAAATGTGTTTTGTAGCCGGTTACAGTTCTGTCTTGAATTTTCAAGTTTTCATTATTAACGCGTTCTTGTCTTTAAAAAGCACTGCGCCGCTATTTGACTAGAGTTTGACGTCAAAACCTGTTCGACCGGAAATTTGCTTCGCTAAGGTCGATCGTTTGATATATCTGCGCTGTTCAGTGGCAGATCACCATGATGGTAAGTAATGCTGTGCTTTCGGCTGGGCGAACTATCGGCGGGCAGTGTGGAAATCCTTGACTTTTCGGCGTGTGACCTTTTGGCACAGGTAACATTTGAAAGGCGTGTTTCGACGACTGTCGCCTTCCGTTTGCGAAGACAGCAAGTGGAGAATTGAAATTTTCTACAGCACCTGTCGGCCATGGTATGTCTATCATATTTTATTTTTAGATATTTAATCGCTGAAAAATGATAATCTAATCTGATGATTAATTAATTTTTCTTTTAATTCGTTGCTAACCAAAAAAGTTGAAATACACGTTCTGCCATTTTAATAATCTGATATTCATGCATCCCTTTTCAATGGTCGTTGATCTTTTTGGGTCGAAGGCCAGCTGCTATACTATACTCTGTCATGTGGTCCCAGTCTGTCGTTAAATGGTCAGGCTTCTTGACCTGAATTCCAAAGTCCGCGATCTGCGCCTAAGCCGTTTTTCCTGTTCCTTTGCCAAGATAGTGTGTCTGCGAAGTCTTTTCTCGGCATAATATTTGTATTTCCATCGAAATTGTGGTTTCATCTTGTACTGATTATTCCACTGCGTAGTCAGCCATCAGTTGGGTCAAATAAATGTAGTCGCAGGAGCCGCTCGCATCGGACAGCATGACCTACACTTCGCTTATTCTGACATGACCAGTTCAGAATATCATATCGTCCCTGTTTTTCACAAGTCACCAATTTACTACCCGCTTCTCGGCTGGTTGCGCAGAAGCAACGTAGCGTCAATTGCTTGCCATAAACGGAATTCACAGATATGACTCAAAGGTTGTCCCTCCAGTGGATTCGAATCCGGCACCATGAGTTGAAGTCGACGCGTTTGCCACAATGCCACAATGCATAGTTGAAGGTATCTCGAAATGCCGGTATGACGTGACAGAATTGAATGCTTGTCGAAAGTCTGAACTCAGTGGAGAATAACAATCTCCATTAAGATCCGAACCTGCTGCGTTGCTTTCAGTTTCAGGCCAGTTTCGCTTTATGGGCTGGAGGAAACGGTTGCGCTTAGTAAAGGGAACCAGCATCGGCTGATAGTCTTCAACAACGCTGGTTGCGAAGCATGTTGAAGCTCCATTGGTACAATCATTTGATGAATGATCATGTTCTTGCATTAGCCAAATTCAAACCAATTTCCGTGTTGCTCAGAAACGGAGGATTGGCACAGTTTGTTTACTATATGCAAACAAGCGTCCAAGCTTCACTTCAATGACTCGACAACTGTGGAGCTGGTAGCCGAAATAAGTCCAGAGGAAACTATACAGAAATCTGTTGACAAGGAGAGATCTTTCTTTAGCCAACGTATTAAAAATATCCCAATATCCAAATGTTAAATGTTCAGATGAGCGGATATCACGAATTTCAAGCATTTTCGCAGGCTCGCAAGGCATAATGACGACACACACAAACAGGAATTGCCGTGTCCCAAATCTTGTCGAGTATCATCCCTCGAA